CAAAGAGTGCGAACCACACAAAATTTCTTAAGAATAATTGGGATGTTTTGTGGAAAAATGGGAGGGGGTGCTTGGTATGTTCTAGAGTGTTCGCCATGAATCAGTTTTAACATTCGGTGTCAAAGACTTCAAAGACTCATACTGACAGACAACATTTTCCTTTTGTATTTGGGAGTAAACATTTCTAACCCATGTAATTTTTTAACTGAGAACTGAACGATCATTTTTAATTTCAACATGACGGACTTAACCTATCAAGTTCAAAGGGCAATTTATTACTAGTAGCTCTTTTCAGGTATCGGTGTATCATTCCATTTAAGTTTTTATTCACCTTTTATTTTTATGAAGATGCATAAATGTTCTGGTCTTCAACGCTTGAATGTTTTCACATCCACTGATCCAACTTGGTCTGACATTTTGGCGGCTTTTATTTTGTTAAATCGCCACCTATATTCCCTATATCATAAATACAATGAATAAAGCGTTTTATTGACTGGTGTTGTTAAATTTATGCGAGCTCAAACCCGACTTTAAAAAGATATTTCGAAGAACGAACTAACTTGTAAAAAGCGATGTCGGACATAAGACGTTAAAAAAAATATTTCCAATATTTTGCCAATAAAATTTTTTGAGCGGGGGGTATTTCAATGAGGCGGGCTGCAATTCCAAACAAACTATAATTTTATTTTGGCCTAATAAAATAATTGTCAAGATTGAAAGGCTGGTAGACTTTTTAATTAAAAAAAAATAATAATTTATGAAAATAAAGCACATTATTTGTGAATATTTTTTAAACCTATGGTTAAAAACACCACAAAACTAGTAACAACTGAGGAAAACATGCTTATCAATCATATTTTAAAAAGAAATTGAAACGAAATTGAGAAATTTTAGAGAAATTAATTTTCTTTTAATATTTGGATCTAACCCGATCAAAATTAACACAAAATAATAATTGCCTATTCATGTATTTACAATGAAGAAATCTATTATATTGTCAGGTTCAATAATGTTTTAACCCTAATTACACCTTCTCAGACTTATAATATTGTTCTTGGGGAAATGTTATTTATTTCCAATATTTTTACAAATATGGTTGGAATCGGTTTAATTATGATCCGGATTGGCGAAAATTAAAAAAATATTTTTCTCTAAAATTTGGCCATTTCGTTTCAATTTCTTTTATAAATATGAATAATGAAAATGTTCTCCCCAGTTGTGACTGGTTTTTAAGAAAATTTAAACCACAAGATTAAAAAATATTCACTTAAATTATGTGTTTTACTTTCATAAATATTTTTAATTTAAAATTTTTTAATATCTAAACGGCTTTTCTTTACATATTTTATTAGGTATTCATGTGATGCATTCATTTACAGCAAAATTTTTATAAAGTGCCACGCCACAGCATGATACGCCCGTCAAAATATTACACAATTATCTTTAACAGTTTAGACTGCAAAAAAATCACTTCAACCTTGATTCTAAGATTTCCATGATTTTTCCATTTTTAAAAAAAATATTACTTTATCCATCCCCTGTGCTGTAGGCATAATTATAACAAATATTACATAACTGACAGATTTCTATACTGTTTGTGTTAGACTTTGTCAAATGCCGGCCATCATAATAAACAATATCAAATTAGTCTTAACAACTTAATCTATGCCAAATTAATTTTGAAAAGAAAGGCTGGCCATCAAATGACATATGCTATAAACTGACCAGCAGTTCTTCTGACTAATCCCCAAAGGATACAGATAAGGCAGCGCTTGATCAGATAGCCTTCGTACATTGAACTCATTAATTAATCTTTGACTGGATGCTTGTCTACTCATTACTCCCTAAATATTAATGGATCTGCACTTTTTATCCTAAAACACTTTTAAAACATATAAAATACTCCATGATTTCTTTTTAGATTTAATGCCAGACAGGTTTTATATTTAATTCATATGGTCAAGTAGGCATGCTGATTCAACCCCACCCCATAAAATTAGTTTTTAATTAATTAATATTATATAATATCAGATTATTAGTTTATTATGCAATATCAAATAAGTTTTAATTACTTTTCATCAAATTCATTTTAAAACTTAGCTAGCCAACAAGAGCTATTTTTAATCTAACAGCTAGGCTGGCTGTCCATTTGCCCAATACCCAAGGGATAACACCAATGCTCTACTAGTTACCTCCTCACACTAAACTCATTAATTTCTCTCTAATTTGACATGCAACTTTCTGCTATCAAAATTCTTCCTGACCAGTGCTTGATAATTATGCCTATGGGACAAACTGAATTCCTCTCATTAACATTGAAATTTGTTTAAGATTGCTGTAAAGTATATGATGAAAAAATAAGTTTTTACTTGATTTAATACTTTTTAATAAGGATACAACTCTATTTTTTACATTTTTAGGATTATGAAATTTAAATTTAAAAAACTTAGTTTTTTTAAAAAATTTCACTAAAATTAAAGGTCACAGTGACCTTGAAATA